AAACGCTTTATAAAAATATTCCACACAGAGCGGGCAGCGAAGACGTCGCAACATGGAAGGTGTGCGTGCCAAAGTCGATACGGGAAACAGTATTAAGAGAAAACCACGACGCACAATAGCGGGAGACGTAGGAAGCCCGATACTACTGGCCAGGTATGCATAGAGACGCTGGAGCCCATTGGAGAAATTGCCAGACATGCATGAGACTTAAACCAAATAAAATGCAGGCGGCCGGCAAAATGCTACCCCAAGTGCGGAACCATGGACTACGGTGTGCGCAGACTTTGTCGGACCCCTACTTTGATCTAAGCACGGCCACCAAATGCTGTTGGTCTTTATAGATAGATTCTCGAAATGAACGGAAATAGTGCCGTGCGCTATGAGACAGCCAAGTGGCTTAAGAAAGCATATGGGGATAATCGCAAGGTACGGGGTCCCGAAGGTGGTCATAATGGACAACGGAGTGCAGTTTGCAAGCCGCATCTTCAAAAGTTTCCTGCCTGAAATGGGTATTAGACAACAATACACCGCTCGCACACGTCATAGGAGAATCCGACCGACCTGGCAAATAGAACGGACAAGACCATGATAGCGCAGTTCGCAGGGCAGGTGCAGAGAAACTGGGACGAGAAGTGGCCGGAGATTATGCTAGCAGTAAACACGGGCATATCGGAGTCCACCGGCTATACCCCGGCGTTTCTTACCAAAGGCAGGGAGCCACGACTCCCCAGCACCCTATATGATAGGGAAACTTTAGGCACTGACCGAGCTACGGAGACCCCGTAGGAAAACGCCAACAAACTGAAGGAGATCTTTGAGATCGTTCGACAAAATCTGAAAAAGGCATTCCAGGATCAAGCCAAACACTACAATCTGAGGAGGAGGCAATGGACGTCAGCTGTGGGTGACGTAGTATGGGCCAAGGAACACCGCCTGTGCAAAGGGGCCGAAGGATTCGCAGCGAAACTAGCCCCGAGGTACGCTGATCCTTACAAGGTTGTAGATTTCGTCTCTCCGGTGATCTGCAAAATACGCCACATACATACATTGAAAGAGCGGACTATCCACGTTGGTGAGCAAGGTACCTACGTCGAGACGTTTGGGATTGGGACATCAGGAATCTCCGAATTGGGACACAGGTAGCTAAGGTCCAGAGAGCAGCACACGGCTGATTCATGGCGGTTTGTTTCTTACTTTGTCGCAACCACACCCTGGCACATCGCCCGTCGGATCCGTCGGAGTCGAGCAATAGAGTCCTGCGACGAGGAACCGTGAACTCGAGGGGAAAGTTGTCTAGACCCAGTGTGCCTTGTCCGACTGAGCAGGACCTGGCGCGAGGGACGAGCGGTCGATCGATTTGTAGTTTCAAGAGGCGTTGTCCTGAAGAGCCCAACGATTCAGCAAGTCCAAGAACGGCTATCGTCCAAGACCTCAAGGGCCAGAGACCACGATACATCGAGCAAGACACGGAGCAGAGCAGACGACTCGGCAGCGACATCATTAGACATCACCAACAGCCACGACACTATCGCCGCGAAGAACTCATTGAGGAGCGCAGGAACGTCACGTACGTCAAGCAATAGGGTGAGGCTGGGGTGGAACGTTCGTCTGCGATAGGCGTAAAGCGAAGTGGACTGCTAGGCAGCTTCCTGGCGTCACCCTTGACTGTCAGCGCGAACTGAGCAAGAGCCTAGAGGGACCGACCGGGACAGAGCAAGGGACAGGTGGTCATTGTCTCGAAAGACGTTGCCCTGGAGAGCAAGGCACCTGTTCACCGTAGTCTAAGAACGGTAACGATTCCCTAAGCCCGCAAGGCCGATCTCTCTGCGGATCCAAGGTGCGACAAGCGGACTCGGACCATGCCGAGACACAGGAAGTAGTCAGCGATCACCGAGTCAACGCGCAAACGATCTAAGACGGGCAGTATCACGGCTAATAGAACCAGCGCGGGACGACACCGAGACCAACCGAGGCACCCACCGCTATAACAAGTAAAACGAAAATAATCCTACTGTTATCCTTTGAATTCTGTGCTTTCTCACTGATCTACAACTACATTTTCTTTGGATTGTTGATAACCATTTCGGACCCTTCCACCATAATTCACAGGTGGTCAGGTGGGGCTAGAACTAATTCCACTAGATGCTAAGTCTAAAGGTTTTTCTACAGACTTAAAATGGTTCCATTCGGTATTCCTTAATTTTCGAATGTCATCCGTTCTTCGCCTAATGAACTTGACCTTAATATCACCATTTCTTATCCATACTAAAGTGATAGTGGAATAACTCCAAGCATAGATATCTACCTTAGTATCAATGGATTAAATAATTCGTTTGATCAATTTTGATTGGACTATTTCTACTTTAGCTGGCTGTTACGTTTACATAATTCCCTACCCTAGCATATACTACTGCTGCATATGCCTTCTCGGAAACAAGTCCATGAAGCTGTATTATTGAACCATTTTTGAACTAATCCATCGGGGGACTCGAATCTTTTCTAAAAGCAATACATTTTCTTTATAACTTACCCAATAATCTTTTTCTTTCTTGGATAATTCTTGATCCCATTCACTCTTATTTATCCATAGAGTTGAACTAAAAAGTTTTCCTAAAATCACAGGAGCCAGCCAACAGGTCATATATTTCTGATAATGTTGGTAGCACTATCCTTTTGTTTGTCTATTATGACTCCCCGCAATTTACATGAAACTTAAATAAATCCTTTTGTGACTTTCATCGAAGCCCCACGTTTTTTACGCTCTCATTTTCAACATGAATGACAACTTTATTATCTCCGGTGCCTGTTATCTCCCTACAGTCTGCATTAGTTTTAAGGTGGTGGAAATCCATTTCCTTAAATTCAGACCCACTTTTTGTAATTCTTGTGAAATTAATTGAATAAAGTTATTGCCATCTTCTATAGAATCAGCCCCAGTCATTAGGTCACCCATGTAGAAATCACTCCTTATTATTTTACGTACATTTTTATACCCGTTACTTGCAGAGTAAAAGGGGTATACTAGATGCGTCGGAAATTATGTAACAGGCAGAAGGAAGCGTTTCCGATAATGTATATATAATCTTGATCAGGATCACTACCCGAGTCGATCTATGTCTGTCTGTCCGTCCCTATGAACGCTGAGATCTTTGAAACTATAAGAGCTAGGCTATTGAGACTTGGCATCCAGATTCCTGAGCTTTTTGCGCAGCGCATGTGTGTTTCAGCAGGGTGCCACGCCCATTCTAACGCCCACAAGCCGCCCAAAACAGTGGCTCCTACAGTTTTGATGCCAGAATAAAAGTTGTAACTGAAATGCCTTGCTCTCATCAATACCTATCGATTGACCCAAAAAAAGTTTGCCACGTCCACACTAACGCCCACAAACTTCAACAAAGCGTAAATATGAACGCGGATATCTCGGTTATCTCTATGTAGCGGCCATATGCTTCTTCTTGCTGTAAAGCTTTAGTGAGTTGACGTGAGGCATGTCTTAAGCTTCACCTAGCAGGTGGCGATCTGTGGAATTGCCACTCTCGACGTGAGCGTCGCTTTTCGACGAGCTGTTCGATTTGTAGATTTTTCTTCTTTTGGTTGCATTGTGTATTTGTAGATTGTCCTCGTCAAGTTCAGTCCGACAATGGACGTCGGCCCTGCCACCTTGCTTTCCCGAGACCTTCTGCAAGCCGTTAAAGAGTCTGTGACTGATGCGTACAGTCCTCAGCAGCTGAACTGGCAATTTATTCCGCCTGGGTCAACCCATATGGGAGCCTGTGGAAAGCTATTGTCAAGAGCCTCAAGACTTTATTTTTGAAATCAACAGCTACGCGAAAGTATACTTTTGAATAGCTTTCGACCCTCCTAGGGCTTGTCTGAACTCCAGACCTCTATCTCCCATGTCAGAAGATCGTACCAATGTGCTAGCGTTGACACACGGTGATTATTTTGTCGGCGGACCTTTTTTGTTCATAGTGGAACCCAAAGTAAAGGGAGAGTCCAAATTTATTATAGTCCGGTGGCAACACTTAAAGGCTTTCCATCATCAATTCCGTGGGCGATGAAAGGATGAGTACCTTAAAGAGCTCCACAAGCGGAACAAGTAAGTCCTACATAAAATCTAGGTGTCGGTGACATGTTCGTCATTAAGGACGACAATTTGCCCTCAAATGAGTGGCGACTCGGTAGAATATTCGACACCGCCGCAATCATCGACCTGTGCACCTCGACGAGCTTCATGGATGCATCCGTGGCCTCCGCGTATCCCTTGCCGACAACCAATGCGGGAGATGAAGGGATCCGCACGGCGACAACTAGATCGAAGTTCGACGAGGCGATCAAGCTGGAGGTGGTCCTCAAGATCGCGCCTAAGGTGTGGATCCGTACTCCTATCCGAGCGCTAAGTGAGAGCGTGGTCGAGAAGTTTTGGGAGCTACCGCTCGCAGATGAGCGGTTCAATCGGCCAGCAACCATTTCCCTTATCCTTGGCGATGACGTCTACCCCAAGGCCATTCAGCCGGGCTTCCACATGGTCGACGAGGGACTGCCAGTGGCCCAAAAGACGGTGTTCGGGTGGATCCTCTCCGGCACCTGCACACAAGTTTAAGGCGTAGACGACTGGCCGGGTCTCTCCTTTTTTACAACGCGAGCGATTGCAAGGGGGCGGAATGTTCAGGCGTAGTGTACAGCGAATCTGGACCATGGCATCGCTATCACATTGCACCGCTCTCCCAGTGAACCGCTCTCCCGCTCTGTTCCCATCGGACAGACGGACATGGCTAGATCGACTCGGCTAGTGATCCTGATCAAGAATATATATACTTTATGGGGTCGGAAACGCTTCCTTCTGCCTGTTACATACTTTCCGATGAATCTAGTATACCCTTTTACTCTACGAGTAAAGGGTAAACAAAAAAAGTAAGGATGCCTTGTTGTTTATTTCAGATATCTTAACAATATTACAAATTAATATAAAAACTTTTTGCCTTGGTTGACCTAGAAATTAGAAAAAAATTAAAAACTGAATACATTTTGTTCCACAAAAGTGATGATACATTTAAGAATAATCGCACTCGTATCTGTTCTGTTTTGACAATTTAGATATTTTAAGTTAAATTTTTCTCTTTAAAATAATATTACAGTCTCAAGTGCCAAACTCAGTTCCAGTTGAGGAAAAAAAAAGCGACTGAATTTGTATATGAAAGCACCAACAATGTGCTGAAACAGGTAATCTTATCTTACTCAAATTAACTTTTTCCGAAAACAAATTATGTATATGTAATATGTAAAATTTCATATATTTCATAGAGCTTGCGTTCCTTACTGCAATCGTCAGAACTGGCCCGCGATTTACTCAACAATAAAGTAAGCACAGTGTTGTCTGTGTAGTTAGGTTCCTTAGTGGTGATTGTCCCCTTGCATTCGTTTGTATTGTTGCCTTACTGTTTCTCTTTTTAAAAATATAAGAGTGATTTATGTATTGTATATTTTTCCCTTGATCGAGATTGATTTTGATTTCCTTTACCGAGGAAAGGCAAATCTCCTGTTCGATAGGTGGAACAGCTTTAAGGACAAAATTCTGATATATTTTAAACGGCACATCCACAACGAAGACTGCAAGCGACAACTACTTGATGTAGAACGTTGGTAAGTTTTCTGCTTAAGCAAAAAATGTTGTCATAACTACACAATTATTATTTTTAAAGATGCCCAGGATTACTTGACCCTTATTTTGCTTAATGCCGTATTGCCGCCGACATCTCGGGTCTTGAATCAAAACGGGAAAGGGAACCAAAAACCGACAATAGCGGATATTCAACTTTCGATGGTACTACGCCTTTCAAGCTTGAATAACTATGAACGTCGTATCAACAATATAGTCAGGGAAAAGTATTTAGAGGGATCAACAATACAGTCATTTATAATTATTCACGCATCGTCTGAGCTGGAGTTCTTAGATTTCTATGTTTACTTTGACAAGACGCTGGTAAAGTGTGATTCCTTCCTGAAAAGCATAGATTTGTGTTTTAAGTGCTTCATGTCTTACTCGCTGAGCTACCCGAAAACCTCAGAGCAAGCTTGGTACACAGTTCAAAAGATCATTTTCGAAAGAGACACCGCTTATGACATAAGATCATTGAATTTACAAAATCTAATCGATTTCATGAATAAAAATTAATTTTTTCAAAATGTATATCTGCTATCGCTGTCGAAAATTATTTCCAACGCCCAACAATTTAATATCCTATTTAAAGATTAAGCATCTGTTAACAAGAACATCCTTGAGGCTGCCTTGTCAGCAGGATGGCTGAAAACAAATTTTTACAAATTTTCTGAGTTTTCGGCGGCACTTCATTAGGTTACATACGCAATCAATTCCAAATCGAAGAAATTCATGAGAGGAATTGCTATTCTCTAAGTACAATCAAACCGTTAAAGAAGTTGAAGAAAAGGATGAGGAAGAACAAACAAATTTATGTTTTGAAGTCCAAAGCAAACAATCACATAGACCATTTAAAACAAAAATCTCTTGAATTTACTTTAAGTTTATATGAACTAAATTTTATGTTGAGGAAACACATATTGCAAATTCAAAACAATATTGTAATTTTACTTAGCTCTGTGTCTACAGCTATTGAAAAGCAAGTAAATCTGGAAACAGTGGATAGAATTAATCCGATTCTTGGTTTTTGCAAAGATCCATTGTAAGACAGAGCACACGTTTTTAAAAAATTAACCGATTCAAATCTATATAGGCAGCCAAAAAATATTTCCATTGATAATAAAATAACAGAAATAGTATTGAAAGGAAATCCCATCTTGGGTTCGAAGTCAAAAGACGTCTTTATAATGCCTTTGGCTTTTACAGTAAAAATAATTATCGATTTACAAAATATTTTGGAGCTAACATTAAGCAACATACAACAAAATTTAAAAAGTAATGACTTAACAAATTTGGCAGCTGGAGAAGTCTTTAAATCTATAGCAAAGCAATTTGATCCAGACATAGTTGTGCCATTTGTTTTATACTTAGATAACTTTCAAATTAACAATGCATTAGGAAGCCATACATTCTCCATATGTGGCTGCTACATTAATTTTCCTTTAATGCCAAAACATTCAATTTCTAAAGTTCAATACATATATCATGTCGCATTTATAGCGACAGACAAGCTTAAAAAGTGTAGAAATGAAAATTCAGTTTACCATTTAGTTGAAGAATTTAAAATTCTTGAGAGTGGAATTATAATAAGAACTAAAAACGGCTTGCAAAAAGTGCAGTTTATATTGTCATTAATTGTTGGCAACAACTTAGCTGTTAACAGCATACTTGGTTATGTCCAATCATTTAATTCAAAGCGATATTGCGGCGTTTGTTCTAGAACGAAACCCGAAATGAAAATAGATTCTTCCGAAAATGTAGAAAGTTTACGAACTGAACAATCTTATTACGAAGATTTACAGTTGAATAATTTTCAAGAAAGTGGATTGAAGCAAAATTGGATATTCAACGAGTTATTGTCGTTAAAAGTTATAAATAATTTTTGTTTCGACATTATGCACGATATTTTCGAAGGCGTATGTAAATATGATATTTGCCACATTCTTATTTCATTAATAAATAAAGGAATAATCACTTTAAATGAAATAAATAGCAGAAAATCGATATTTCCGTACGGAGAAACATCTGTAAAAATAGAAATGAATCGACTAAAAACATGTAATTTAAAAACGTCTGCAAGCGAAACAGAATGTCTTACCCACTTTTTGCCCTTGATGATTGGAGATAGAGTTCCACACGGTAATGAAGAATGGGAATTGTTATTAACTTTACTTGATATAATAGAGTTCTTACTTAAGTCAAATTATAAGAAAACGGAAATAGAAACGATACGAAGTGCAAAAACATCATCTTTAAGATATTTGTGGTGCATGAGGTTTGAGGCGAAACACAAGGATTCCAAGTTTTATTTTTACAATGTAAATTCAAGAATTAATCCTCCCCATTCATTAGCCATTAAATGTCAAATTAAGTTTGCAAAGTTTCTGACGGACCATGCCAAATCTATTGAGCCGTATTTAAGACTTACATCAAAAGAGTAAAGTATTTTGAATAATAATCTTGCATTAGAAATAAATGAAAACCATGGGAGTGTAAATAGCTTTAAATTTTATAACCAATTAGAATATAAGGGCACTGCTTATAAAATTAATTATTATTTAGGTTTAAATAAGAACAATTTTATGTTATTTACAATTAAGCAATTTTTAATTCACAAAATAAATGTAAGTTTATGTTTATTGTGAACAAATTGAAGTAGAATACAATTGTCATTTAAGATCATACATTGTAAAAAATCCATTAAGAAACTACATTTTTAATAATGACATTAAAGCCGTAAGTCTAAAATATATATAATATAAAAAATTTCGCACTTTTATTGAGAATGGGTTATAGATAGATCGATATATAGATCGATGCGATGTTGAAACCGAGAACGGTTCTTCTCGAAATCGAGATCGATGCGATGCTGAAACCGAGAACCATTCATACCGAAAACAAGATCGAAGCGAAGTTGAATCCGAGAACGGTTCTTCTCGAAATCGAGATCGATGCTGTTCTGCAACTGACAACGATTCATACCGAAATCAAGATCGATGCGATGTTGAAACCGAGAACGGTTTTTCTCGAAATCGAGATCTATACGATGTTGAAACCGAGATCGGTTATTCTCGAAATCGAGATTGACCGTTCTCAAAGGCCCGTTCTCAAACCGAGAAGACTTCGATGACGATTTTAGTATTTTTAGTATGAGTCGTTCTTGGCTCACTTTTGAGATCGAAAATACTAAAATCGAGAACGCTGAGAACGGTTTTTTCTCTGAGTGTACTTTCCGACGAATCTATTATACTATTTTACGCTACAAGTAACGGGTATAAAAACATCTGAGCATCAGAAGATGTAGTGTTAATGTATCCTGATTTTAGTAGGACATTTAAACTAACAAAAGATGCTTCACAACATGGTCTCGGGGCTGTGCTATCTCAAACGAGCCACCCTTTACCTTGATTTCTAGAACAATCAGTAAGGTTTTTCGGTACTCCAAATACCTCGATATCGACGTATCGGATAAGTAGTAGGTGGTAGCCATTGGGAGAAACACATATGCTGCGCTATGCTGGCCAGATTCTACACGTTAACATTTCTCCGCCGATGGAAAATGTTTTTTGACGGCAATTGACAAATTTTTAAAGTTTGCAGTAGTCCAACCCATTGTTAGTTCTGTCAACAGCGAATAAGCCGCGGTCGCGCCGGCCCCAGCAGCAGTACGCTGCACCCGCCACATCGTCTCGCCGTATTTCAGCGTCAGCAACGCCACCACAGTCAACCCCCAGCCCCCCGAACATTGCTTTTGCTGAAGCGTCAAAAACTACTCTTCATTTGGTCGTCAGGCTTGAAACTCTAATTACAGCCAGGTGCGGAACAAGTACTTACCTTCTTTCTGCACTTCGACCATATGTCCTTAATCCATGAATTCATGCTTAAATTTAGCATAGTCTAATCATTCGTTTTCATTTTATCTCCAGATTCATGAAACGAGCCATTGCCTGTTTCTTTGAATCTCCTAAGGTGACATAATCTTTAAATGGAATTGACACAAAGTATCGCCCATTAAATTTTTTTTTTAGTTTTTATGAAATGAATTTCACATATTTCAGATTCGATATCATTCTATATTTGTCTTTTATCTTGACCATATCTTTTAATTCTATGGTAGTTGCTACAATTGCCTTTTTATACCCGTTACTCGTAGAGTAAAAGGGTATACTAGATTCGTCGGAAAGTATGTAACAGGCAGAAGGAAGCGTTTCCGACCCCATAAAGTATATATATTTTTGATCAGGATCACTAGCCGAGTCGATCTAGCCATGTCCGTCTGTTCGTCTGTCCGTATGAACGCTGAGATCTCGGAAACTATGAGAGTTTCAATACTGGGATTAGGCACGCAGATTCCTGAGATTCCTGCGCAGCGCAAGTTTGTTTCAGTAGAGTGCCACGCCCACTCTAACGCCCACAAACCGCCCAAAACTGTGGCTCCTACAGTTTTGATGCTAGAATAAAATTTTTAACTGAAATGTAATGTTCTCATCAATACCTATCGATTGACCCAAAAAAAGTTTGCCACGCCCATTTTAACGCCCACAAACCGCGAAAACCTGTGACGCCCACAATTTTCATGCTAGATAAAAAATGTTAACTGAAATTTATTGGTCTCGACAATACTTATCGATTGCCACGCCCACTCTAACGCCCATAACGCTTAAATCTGTATACCGCCGGTAGGTGGCGCATTTTAATCTCGCTTTGCTGCTTGCATATCTCCATTTAGCTGAGTAACGGGTATCTGATAGTCGAGGTACTCGACTATAGCGTTCTTCCTTGTTTTTATTAACATTATTATGTCTGAACAATTCGACGTAAGGGTCTGCTGTATATAGAAATCTAAAAGAGCCCACATTCCTTGGAATATTAAGTATTATGCAAAAATACTATCTTTTGTTTTGTAAAGTTTATTTGCTTTCCAAATTTTTGTCTCAAATGGTTCAGGTATCCCAACCCGTGGGGATAGTTGAACCACCTATCAGGATAACACAAAAACTACAATTATATAAAAAAAGTGTAATTTATTTCTTTGTGCATGCCTTCTTTCTGTTCGAATATAAACATTGCACCTTTACAGCATGAAATCAAACATTACAATATTGCTATTTATTCTTATTTTTGTTTTTGTTCTTTCTTTTTTCGAAGGTTTTCTTGAGTTTTCTGATTGTGTTTTTCCGCGATCAATTTTTCTGCGACGAGTCTGTAGCAATGATACTCCTTCCTCGTTTTCTTCCCCGAGTCGTCTGTTTTCGTGGTTTAGCCTTTGGGTACCCTCTTAAGTCCTCCTGGTTCATGTATCCCCACAAGTCATTAGCCAATTAGAAGTGATTTGAAGAAAACATGAAATATTTAAACTGCGTGAGCTATCCGTGGAAATTTGCGTCTTCTTACGATAAAATACAATTTTATGAAGTTCAATGCCACTGGCAAAGCACGATAAAATGTTTCCGAGAAAACGTTAGGTCACAATTGAAGCTGCAAGCGGCGAATACAAACTTCGATTAGCGATAAAAACGACAACAATCGTTTGACGCGACTGTGCGTGCGTGTGAGGTTAGGATATCGACTAAGTAAGCAACACACATATAGATGGCGCACAAAATCATGACAGAAGGTGAAATATTTGTAGTGGTTCATCTATCCCCGTGGTTCACCTATCCCCACTCTCCCCTACTAAATTCGTCGGAAAGTATGTAACAGGCAGAAGGAAGTGTTTCCGACCCCATAAAGTATATATATTCTTGATCAGGATCACTAGCCGAGTCGATCTAGCAATGTCCGTCTGTCCGTATGAACGCTGAGATCTTGGAAACTATAAGAGCAACTG